GAAGACACAGGAGACATGGCAGACTGGGTAGGAAGGGGGGAAACTCCAGATGGAGAACCAGGAGGGGGGCCCCTTCAGGACAGAACGTAAAGGAACAGAGGAGGAGGTGGGCGTGTCCGTGTCTAAGGCCTGGAAACGGTTGAGACTGAGTAAGGTGGGAAGGACGAGGAGAGGTAGAACGCAACACGCGAGCACAAGATACGCCAGTGAAAGGGGTGAGACAGCGAACTTGGTGTCTCGCTTCATTAAAAAGACAGACGATCCCAGTGTTTCAAGTGGAGGACGACTTCCTTAAGATTGTAGTGAACATACGCGCGGGAGAAGGTTCACCGCAATTGAGGTAGCGAGCCTGAGGGGAAGAGCACTCTGACTTAGAGTGATCATTATCCCTACACAAGGGGCATAGATACACAGTACTTGTGCATTTGAGAGCACCATGCCTGAACTTTCAGCACTTATTGCAAAGTCTAGGAGAGGGAATGTACTCCTGAACGTAGAGGGCGGAAGGGTCCTACTATTAAAGGTGATTTTTAGAACTCGAAGGGGCTGACGGCGATGACCACGAGGGGGTCGAGTAAACGTGCCCACCTGGAGGACAGAATGGCCTTAGGCTTTGAGGATATATTTAATATTCAAATTCAAATTCAAATGTTTATTTAGGTAAAGTACATGCATACAAGGTGTGATACAAATATTGATGAATTTATAGATAGGGCTAGTACATACAATGCCTAAAGCCACTATTACGCAAAGCGTTTCAGGGAGGAAAAACACTAAAGACTAAAACTTAATACTAATTGAGATTAAAGTATAAAATGTGTTGAGAAAATAAAAAAATAAAAAAAGGGGGGAACATAGCAGAAAAACAGCAAAAATACAGTATGGTCGACAAACAGCATTGTTTAAAAAAATAACAGACATGGGTTGACATTATAGGGGAAAGGTAGGTTACAGGGAGTTAATTAGGTAGTGCTTAGTTTTTATCTTAAACTGGTTGAGAGGTACAGTCTTTAACATGATTGGGAAGGTCATTCCACATTCTGGGTTCCTTGATTTGTAGAGCATTTCTAGTTTGATTAAGTCGTACTCTTGAAATATCAAAACTGTATTTGTTTCTGGTGTGGTGCTCATGGGTTCTGTTACAACCTTCAATGAAGCTTTTAAGGTCAGGATTGGTATTACAGTTCAGCGTTATATATATATATTATATATATATATATATATATATATATATATATATATATATATATATATATATATATATATATATATATATATATATATATATATATATATATATATATGGAGAGGGTTAAGGCGTACCTGTTATGCCAGTTGCTGGAAGGCTTCTGTGCTGGCTAGGGTTCGAGTCTCCTGGTGGGAAAGTGTTCTAAAGTTGTATATATATATATATATATATATATATATATATATATATATATATATATATATATATATATATATATATTCAGCATTGGGAGACCCCAATGCATCGTTCTGCATTGGGGTCTCCCCAATGCAGAACGATGCGGCTAAGCAGGTAGCTGCATCCTGAGAAGGAGCTGCGACGACACGTGTACCGAGACGGGTGGGGTTAAAAGTAACAGAGGCATCTACCGAATCAACAAGGTGTTTGTGGAGGGAGAAATCGTCAGGAAAAGTTGAATCTAGATGATGTAGATCAAGTGTGGCCATGGTGGGGACGGCATTGAGAACCCCCAGAGAGAGAGGGGTTATAAGGTGCGGTAGTCACAATGAGAGACAGAGCCGTGCCAAGGTCACCCGTGAAGGCTTGGGACTCAACCCTACCAAAGAAAGGGGTGGGAGCGGGGTGTCGGAGTATTTCGGTCTGGGCCCAATGCAGCGAGGGCTACAAAGTCTTCCATCACAGTCCGACTCAGGGGCAAGGTCGTCCACCTCACGAGTCTGGGTAAGAAAGATCGTGTCGGTTTCCATTCGGCATTCACTTTAAAAGCCTGGGGCTTGGAAACAAGGCACACCACCTACCAGGGCAGCCAGGGAGGCCGAATGCGAGTGGGCAGATACGTTACAATTAAATGTTAAACATGTGGAAAATCATTAAGTGCATACGATAATGCCAATTATCGTATCGTATATGTTAGAGCCAATTCCACATAGTGAATGGGCATCCCCAACTGTACCAGTGTTGAAGGCAGACCGCAAAATCCATGATAATCTGTGCAGATATTTAAAGAATTAAATAACCTAATCCATTGTAAAAATACCCATTACCAAAAATAGATGAGTTGTACCTGGGTTGCAAGGGGAACAAAATTTTCTAAGACTGACCTGAAATATGCCTACTTGCAAACTCCTGTAGATGCAGAGTGTCAGAAATTGTTAGTTATTAATTTTCATAAGGAGTTATTTAAGTGTAAAAGTCCCTTTTGGACTCTCCTCGTCTCCAGAAATTTTTCAGTGATTCATGTCCCATTTGTTAGTAAACATTGAGGGTGTTGCTAGCTTTTTAGATGACATTATTGTATGCGGGGAGAATGAGGAAGAGTATGATACAAGATTAGAAAAGGTTTTGAATCTTCTGCAAGAGCACAATGTGAAGATTAATGCGGGTGAAACAGCAATGAAGACCAATGTCATTGAATACCTGGGGTACCATATTTCAGGTAAGGGCTTTACTCCTCACAAAAACGTATTTACTATATAGCCCCCCCCCCCCAGCCCCAACATCAGTGGGGAAGTACAGTCTTTTGAAGGCATGGTGACATACTTTTTGTAAGTTCGTGAAGAACTTTTCAACAAAATTAGCTGACTTGTATAAATTATTGAAAAAAGGGGCTAGAGTTAGGTGGGCAGCGAATGAGAAGGATTTCAGGAATATTAAGCAGGAATTGATAAATTCTCCAGTGCTCACTAATTTTACTGGTAAACTTCCTTTAAAACTGGAGATTGATGCTTGCCCAGTACGAGTGGGATGAGTATTATTACAGGAAGTAGATGCCAGGAAAAAGCAGTCTGTTTTGCTAGCAAGAAATTATCTCATGCAGAGAAGAATTATTACCAATTAGACAAAGAAGCCTTAGATTTGGTATATGCTGTAAAAAAAACTGAGGTATTTTCTGATGGGTAGGAAATGTCTTGCTAGAACAGACTTCTAGAACAGAACAGAAGGCTAGAACAGAAAAAAATCCTAACCCCTGTTAAGATTATTTGGTAGAGGTAAACAAATTCTTGTTAATGATAATACTAGAATTCAACTATGGGCATTGCTACTTTCACGGTTTGAGTATGATTTGGTATTAAAGTCGGGCAAGGATAATGTAGTGGCTGAGCATTAAGTAGATTGCCTGTTACAGAAGAGTTTAATTCCAGTATTCCAGTGGAGTATGTTAACCTGGTGAAAACTATGTCTTTTGAGGATATTTCATTCCAGACTATTAGGACGGCAACTGGTAGGGATCCCAAATTAAATCTGTTGAGGAAGAATCTCAAATATGGCTGGAATGATAATTTATTATTGTCAGAGTATGCTGCGGTAAAGGCTGACCTTAGTATTCACCAGGATATACTCTTATATGGGAATAGAATGGGGGGTTCCTCTGGAACTTAGATGTAAGATTTTGGAACATTTAGGCCACAATGGCATAAATGCTATGAAAGAAGAAGCTAGAAGTTGGGTTTGGTGGCCAAAAATGGACCAAGATATTGCTGAAGTTACTAAAAATTGACACATTTGCTTTAAGAATTATCAGAAACCCCAGGCCCCAGTACTTTCCTGGCCATACACTGGGAAACCCTGGTCTAGACTTCATATAGATTATGCTGGACCTATGGATAACAAATATTACCTGGTGGTGGTGGATTCATACACAAAATTTATGGATGTTCATGTGTGTAATTCCATGACATCATCTGTAACTTGTGAATTGCTCAGGAAAACATTTTATAATTTTGGATTGACAGACATGGTTGTGTCAGATAATGCTTCTTATTTTGTTTCTGAGGAAATGGAGGATTTTTTTTAGAAAGATTGGTATTAAACCTGTAACACCTGCCCTCTATAATCCTTCTTCAAATGGTCTGGCTGAGAGAGCAGTGAGAGCCTTAAAAGAAGAGTTACAGCGATTTACAGAAGCCACTATTAGTACAAGGCTTTGAAGATTTTTGCATTATCAAAGAAAAGCTGTTCATTCTGTCACTGGTAAATCTCCTTCTGAATTACTGTTTAATAGGTTCTTCAACGTGCACATGGTAGCAGTAAAGACAGATCTAGATCAAGAAAAATCTGTAACTAGCTCGGCCAATTAGTTGGCTCAGGGAGAAGAAGTTTTGTTTAAAGAGGAAGATGCAGTATATGCAAGGAATTTTGTAATGGGTAATGGGTGACCCATGCAAAGGGTCACTGGGAATTTTGAGGTCCCATTGGGTGTGGATGAGGCAAATAGGGATGCTGAAGCTAATAATGAAGGGGGTAACACCTGCAGGAGACAGGAAGGCAGAGCAAGGCTCAACAGGGGTAATGTGGATACAGATAATACTAGGGACTCTGCTGTTAGTAACTCAGAAGAAGGTTCTCCAGATGTAACGGGCCCAAGAGTCCCAGTTGGGAAAATCTGGAAGAGTCATACAACCGCCTGATAGACTTAACCTGTAGGCGGTTTAATTCAAAGGGGAGGAATGTTAAGGTATTTTGTAGGATTAAGTTAGGTGCCGTTATTTTGTAGGACTCGCCTACTCAGTGAGTAGGCACATAGGTGAGGTACATAATGTTTCCAGCAGATGCTCTTTTATAAGTATTGTAAATAGTAAGTCATGTAACCTATAACCGGTGAATACTCTCTCTCTCTCTCTCTCTCTCTCTCTCTCTCTCTTTCGGTGTGGGTGTGTCAGTATAATTAAAATAAGGAGTACCAACATGTCGAAAAGCGTCTTCTACAGTCAATACATTATTGAATTTCACATCATAAAGTTTGTGAGACACTATTACATTACATAAAAATATATAATTTTAACAATCGTACCTAATACAAGTGATCATATCCTCGTTCTTTTGATCAGTCCGGAAGTCGGTGGAATGTGAGTCCAGTCTCCACCTGCAAGAAGAAATATTCACATTAATTTTGGGAAAATCAGTGAGTGATGCTACAGAAATAAGGAACGGAGGACAACATTGTATACCAGCTTAAGTTTTCTGCCTATTGACATCATCTTGTTAGATGTTGAGAGTCATTCACTAATGACCTGCTGGAAGATATAAAATATCTAGTTATAGTCAGCTCTCACCGGCAGCAAACCATTCAAAAACCCAAAAGAAATTTATGGAGGAATTTCTAGAGCTAATGCCGCCAAACACACACCGAAACTACGACGTTGGTACAACGTTCGAACAGGGATTTACAGGGAAATTTTGATTTTACCAAGATGTCGTTTAAGGATTTACCTCGTTTCTAAGCTACCATCTTGAGGTTGTCCTGAGATGATTCCAGGGCTTAGTATCCCTGCGGCCCGGTTCTCGATCAGGCCTCCTTTTTGTTACACACCCCCAGGAAGCAGCTGTCTAACTCCCAGGTACCTATTTACTGCTAGGTGAACAGGGGCATCAGAGTGAAGATACTTTTTGCACATTTGTTTCTGCCTCCACCTGGGATCGAACCCGGAACCTCAGGACTAAGGATCCGAAGTGCTGTCCACTCAGCTGTCAGGCACCATGGATATTTCTTGTAGGAATTTCTTCCATGCTTGATGATTTCCGTGTGGCCTCCTTAGATATCCCCAGAGGTTAAGGAGTTAACTCCGGAGCTGCCCGGCCATTCTTGGAATATAGAGGGATGAGAGGATTAGCCTCTCCTTAGTTGGCTGTTGTTCCCTGTGCTGTAACCAATGAAGATCTGGTTCTTTGTGCTAACTTTATAACTGCATCTTGTAGGATTTTACCAGAGTATTCTCTGTGTCTGAAAAAATCCCAGAGACGCTTGAGGACCCCCCCCCCCCAGTCTCTCCCCATCGCTATTTGTTTTAGTGAGGTTCCCAGGGAGTAGGGCAGGACCTTGTTAATGACAGTGGCTGGCATGACGAGTAGTGGAGATGTGAGTGAGTGTTCGTTGGTTTGTAAAAGATTCTTGTTTGAATCATCCTGGGTTTGTCGAAATAAACGTGTCCAAAACGTTCAGTGCTGTTTCACTAATTTCTAGGGTGAAACGGAGCTTAAGTTGGACTCCATTTGTCCAGGAGAAGAAAGCTGTGAGATCGTGTTCGCCTCCCATCATTACCCCAAAACTATCATCTATGTAGCGCTGGTAGATCCGCCGCTGGTCTGTCCTCTTGTCTGGCCGCTTCACATGTTGTGTGTGTACAAATATTTCCGCGTTGGCTACGCTGCTAGATGCCCCAGTCACCATCCCTTTAATTTGTGTGTAGGTCTTCCCGTGGAAAGTCCTGATGGTGTCTCTTATGATATGTAGTATTGCCTCTTGTAGGAGCTCTATGGTCGGGGCTTCCAGACACCTGCCTCCTGAAGTTCGTGCATGATCTTGTGGCCATGTCAAAAAATGTCGCCACTTGCCATGCTGCTTCTCGTTGTGGAATACTTGGGTACAAGGATAGTGCATCAAGCGAAAATACACACATTTCTTGAGGCAAAAGGTCGCTATAGTTCCGCAAGCATTCAAGGAAGTCAGTAGTATCCTTTAGTCGTTCCGGGAGAAGGTTTAATAGCTGTGTGAGTAGCTCGGTACAGATGAGGTTAACAGGTTTTGTTGGTGCTTGGCAGCCCCGCAACACTGGTCAGTCTGGCCATGAGCCTGTTCTAACCTGTCTTTATGGATTTTTGGGGAGGCTGTACAGAGCCGTAACTTTCGATGGAAAGTTAAGAAAAATTATGTCGTCTCTGCTGTGAGACACCTTCCTACTCCCTGGGACTCCGACTGAAAATATAGTCAGTGATGGCGAGAGACTAGAGGGTATTCTTTAGTGTCTAGGGGATTTTTTCAGACACAGTGGATACCCAATAAAATCCTACAAGATACATATAGAAAGTTTGCACAACGAACCAGATGTTCATTACTACAAGACAGGGAACAACAGTCAACTAAGGAGGGGCTAATCCTCTCATCCCTCTATTTTCCAGGAATTGCAGGGCAGCTCCGGAGATAACTCATTAACTGCTGGGGATAGCTAAGGAGGCCACACGGAAATCATCCATCATGGAAGAAATTCCCACAAGAAATATCCATGGTAGCTTGGTGTGGAGGTAAATCCTTAAATGACATCTTCGTGAAGTAAAAATCTATCAAACCCAGACACACACCATAGGGTCAAGGAGACCCTCCAATATAACGAACCTTCCAATTGTATAAATTGCTTGACAACACTGCACTGACTGCGAGTTCTCTGGGATTTGTTTACATACTTCCAGTCGGAGGCAGTTTGGGTGTGGTGACAAAGTTAGAGACGTCGCAGATCATCCTGGGTTATAAAACGCCTTCCTTGTTACAAAACTCGACCGCTCAGTGGGTCAAGTTCCCGGTCGCCGCGATGTGACACATCCTCAGCACATCATCCTCACCATCACGGCGAATCCGTCTACATACGAGGCCAGCTCCTGGACCCCATTCATGCTGGGAGTCTCGGCCTAAACTATTCTTAGTTCGAGGCCTTCTCACAAGTGTCAAAGTGGAAACAAGCCCAGGTAAGAACGGGAGCACAGACAGGATGTCAGCCCCTTCTCGTGCTCAGAAGTGAAGGGACGAGTGGCTGCCAGTCGGCGTCTTCTGGGTGTGACGTCACCGTCTTGCAGGATGCTGACTAGTCCACACCGCCTTCTCTTGCCCACAGAACACTATCCCTGGGGTCCCTCTACCACAGAACACTATCCCTGGGGTCCCTCTACCACAGAACACTATCCCTGGGGTCCCTCTACCACAGAACACTATCCCTGGGTCCCTCTACCACAGAACACTATCCCTGGGGTCCCCTCTACCACAGAACACTATCCCTGGGGTCCCTCTACCACAGAACCCTGGGGTCTATCCCTGGGGTCCCTCTACCACAGAACCACTATCCCTGGGGTCCCTACTACCCACAGAACACTATCCCTGGGGTCCCTCTACCACAGAACACTATCCCTGGGGTCCCTCTACCACAGAACACTATCCCTGGGGTCCCTCTACCACAGAACACTATCCCTGGGGTCCCTCTACCACAGAACACTATCCCTGGGGTCCCTCTACCACAGAACACTATCCCTGGGGTCCCTCTACCACAGAACACTATCCCTGGGGTCCCTCTACCACAGAACACTATCCCTGGGGTCCCTCTACCACAGAACACTATCCCTGGGGTCCCTCTACCACAGAACACTATCCCTGGGGTCCCTCTACCATCCCTGGGGTCCCTCTACCACAGAACACTATCCCTGGGGTCCCTCTACCACAGAACACTATCCCTGGGGTCCCTCTACCACAGAACACTATCCCTGGGGTCCCTCTACCACAGAACACTATCCCTCTACCACAGAACACTATCCCTGGGTCCCTCTACCACAGAACACTATCCCTGGGGTCCCTCTACCACAGAACACTATCCCTGGGGTCCCTCTACCACAGAACACTATCCTGGGGTCCCTGAACACTATCCCTGGGGTCCCTCTACCACAGAACACTATCCCTGGGTCCCCTCTACCACAGAACACTATCCCTGGGTCCCTCTACCACAGAACACTATCCCTGGAGTCCCTCTACCACAGAACACTATCCCTGGGGTCCCTCTACCACAGAACACTATCCCTGGGGTCCCTCTACCACAGAACACTATCCCTGGGGTCCCTCTACCACAGAACACTATCCCTGGGGTCCCTCTACCACAGAACACTATCCCTGGGTCCCTCCCACAGAACACTCTACCACAGAACACTATCCCTGGGGTCCCTCTACCACAGAACACTATCCCTGGGGTCCCTCTACCACAGAACACTATCCCTGGGGTCCCTCTACCACAGAACACTATCCCTGGGGAACACTCCCTCTACCACAGAACACTATCCCTGGGGTCCCTCTACCACAGAACACTATCCCTGGGGTCCCTCTACCACAGAACACTATCCCTGGGTTCCCTCTACCACAGAACACTAACACTGGAGTCCCTCTACCACAGAACACTATCCCTACCACAGAACACAATCCCTGGAGTCCCTCTACCACAGAACACTATCCCTGGGGTCCCTCTACCACAGAACACTATCCCTGGGGTCCCTCTACCACAGAACACTATCCCTGGGGTCCCTCTACCACAGAACACTATCCCTGGGGTCCCTCTACCACAGAACACTATCCCTGGGGTCCCTCTACCACAGAACACTATCCCTGGGGTCCCTCTACCACAGAACACTATCCCTGGGGTCCCCCTCCCTCTACCACAGAACACTATCCCTGGGGTCCCTCTACCACAGAACACTATCCCTGGGGTCCCTCTACCACAGACCACAGAACTATCCCTGGGGTCCCTCTACCACAGAACACTATCCCTGGGGTCCCTCTACCACAGAACACTATCCCTGGGAACACTATCCCTGGGGTCCCTCTACCACAGAACACTATCCCTGGGGTCCCTCTACCACAGAACACTATCCCTGGGGTCCCTCTACCACAGAACACTATCCCTGGGGTCCCTCTACCACAGAACACTATCCCTGGGGTCCCTCTACCACAGAACACTATCCCTGGGGTCCCTCTACCACAGAACACTATCCCTGGGGTCCCTCTACCACAGAACACTATCCCTGGGGTCCCTCTACCACAGAACACTATCCCTGGGGTCCCTCTACCACAGAACACTATCCCTGGGGTCCCTCTACCACAGAACACTATCCCTGGGGTCCCTCTACCACAGAACACTATCCCTGGGTCCCTCTACCACAGAACACTATCCCTGGGGTCCCTCTACCACAGAACACTATCCCTGGGGTCCCTCTACCACAGAACACTATCCCTGGAGTCCCTCTACCACAGAACACTATCCCTGGGGTCCCTCTACCACAGAACACTATCCCTGGGGTCCCTCTACCACAGAACACTATCCCTGGGGTCCCTCTACCACA